TTGTAACTCGGTGATCACTAGCAGGTAACTGCGTGTAAGGTGACTCACTAGCAGGTAACTGTGTGTAAAGTGTCTCACTAGCAGGTAACTGGGTGCAAGGTGTCTCAATAGCAGGTAACTGTGTGTAACGTGTCTCACTAGCAGGTAACTGTGTGTAACGTATCTCACTAGCAGGTAACTGGGTGTAAGGTGTCTCACCAGCAGGTAACTATGTGTAGGTAACTCACTAGCAGGTAACTGGGTGCAAGGTGTCTCACTAGCAGGTATAACTGTGGTGTAAGGGATCACTAGCAGGTAAAACTGGTGTAAGTGATCAACTAACAGGTTAACTGGGTGTAAGGCGTGTCTCACCAGCCAGGTTAACTATGCTGTAAGGCTAACCTCACTAACAGGTTAACTGGGTGGCCAAGGTGTCTCACTAGCAGGTAACTGATGTAGGTAACTCACTAGCAGGTGACTGGGTGTAAGGTGACTCTACTAGGCAGGTAACATGTGCGTAAGATGTCTCACTAGCAGCGGTAACCTGGGTGTAAGGTGACTCACCCAGCAGGTAACTATGTGTAAGGTAACTCACTAGCAGGTAACTGGGTGTAAGGTGACTCACTAGCAGGTAACTGGGTGTAAGGTAACTCACTAGCAGGTAACTGGGTGTAAGGTGACTCCTAGCACGATATACATCATGCAGTCACTATATTTATTTAATATGGCTCTGTTTTAATGTTATGAAAAGATTAAACATTACGAAAAAGCTTTCACGTTACAACGGAGAAATTTATTGTGATTAAATTTTGTACCGTAGCGTTTAATGAGTGAGGTGGATTATAAACATAGTGCCTCAATATATTAGTGATTAGATCTCACGTGATCTCGCGCCGGACGTAAACTCTAGGGCGCTTGCATCCGCTCGAGCGAGGGTCTTAGTGTGTGGCCACGACAATCGACGTTCGGCTCGAGAATCAGGGACCACGGATAGGTTTCTTCAGGCGCTCCGCAATCGACCAAGGTCGGTCGACGTCCAGACTGGCGCACGTTCTCTTTATTTCGGACCGCTGGCTAGCCGTAGAGGAGGAACGCGAAAAAATGGACAGTGACGGTGAATTAGTACAGTACAGTTGCAAAAGCAGGACGTTGTGGAATTATTATACCAGCCTCGATTACCTGTGTTGTAAGGTGGTGAGAATTAGCTCGTGCGTTACATGCTAAAAGGGATACACAATTAGTGGTATTATTGTTAGACAACGAAAGGCGTGGACATTACTGACCGATAACTACGGGTTACAGCATGATAGTGGCTCGCTCAGGGCGGAAAGTCAGGTTCTATTCGGCTTCCATTGGACATTACCTGTACTATACTTTGCTTTTACAATGGTGATATGGAGTGTAGTGAAGTTTGACTACTCTTATAAAACTCAGTTCACGTACACAATGTGAGTGTTGTAGGTGGACATTACTGACCACTACACACTTGTGTTGTAGGTGGACATTACTGACCACTGTACACATGTGTTGTAGATGGACATTACTGACCACTGTACACCTGTGTTGTAGGTGGACATTACTGACCACTGTACACCTGTGTTTGGTAGCATTACTGACCACTGTACACATGTGTTGTAGGTGACATACTGGTCACTGACACCTGTGTTGTAGGTAGACATTACTGGTCACTGTATACCTGTGTTGTAGGTGGATATTACTGACCACTGTACACATGTGTTGTAGGTAGACATTACTGGTCACTGTACACCTGTGTTGTAGGTGACATTTACTGACCACTACACACTTGTGTTGTAGGTGGACATTACTGACCACTGTACACCTGTGTTGTAGGTGGATATTACTGACCACTGTACGCATGTGTTGTAGGTGGATATTACTGACCACTGTACGCATGTGTTGTAGGTGGACATTACTGACCACTGTACGCATGTGTTGAAATAAAAGGTAGACATTAATGGGTCCCTGCTACACTGTGTTGTAGTGTGGACATTAACTGAACCAGCTAACACAACTTGTGTTGTAGGTGGACATTAAATGAACCCACTGTTACAACCCTGTGTTGTGTGGTATTTACAAATTACATTACATTACAGTAAATTACATTACATTACAGTAAATTACATTACATTACAGTAAATTACATTACATTACAGTAAATTACATTACATTACATTACATTACATTACATTATATCATTATTATGGAGACAAAACATCTAGGCGACTAACGACGATATACGCCCTCCCCATTGCCACACCCATACATATCTGCACACACCATATTTATGTTATAGGGGCCTATATGATATCAGGGGTTAATAATTATTCATTATCATTATTAACCCCTGATGATAAATCTATTTCTGTTCTGATCTGACCTGATATATCTATATCTGATATAATATCTATCACTACACCACCTCTACCTATACCTTTGATGCAGGAGTGCCAGCGCCCAAGCCGCACTCTGACTACACGTACAACACGGCGCTCGACCTGTTCGGCGCGCCGTTCTGGGGTGAGATGTACTGGTACTGGGGCGGCGGCTACGTCGCCCTGCTCGGATATTCTCGCGCAGACATCGTCGACAAGCTCGCCGAGCTGAGCGCCAACAACTGGATCGACCAGCTCACGCGCGCCGTCTTCCTCGAATTCAACCTCTACTACCCGGCTTCTAATCTGTTTGTCGTCGCCGAGGCGCTGTTTGAGTTCCCGGCGCAGGGAGGTAAGGCGCACACCGCCCCCTAGTGGACGCGTCCGACGGGTGGGTGGAGGAGCGGGTTAAGAGGGGGTGGGGGGGAGGGGTCATTGTGGGGGGCTGTGGTGACGGAATAATTATAATGAGCGGTCGCGATGATGAAATAATTAAGGTGGCCAGGCGAGTGAGAGAAAGACAGGCAGACAGACAGACAGAGAGGGTGGAGGTATCTTTTGAGTTCGCCCCATGGTTCAGTGTGTGTGACGGTGTCTGTTCGCGTTCTAGGTGTTATTCAGTGTGTGTGACGGTGTCTGTTCGCGTTCTAGGTGTCATTCAGTGTGTGTGACGGTGTCTGTTTGAATCGTGTGACTGTCGGTGTTCTCGCGAGTTTGTGTGACTGTCAGTTCTCTCGCGATAATCTGTCATGGTCACGTCGCGTGTATGGCCATGTTAGGTTTACCCTAATGCTGCTTCGTTGTTTTGCTGATGTAGTGGATTCGGATTTCGATTAAGGCTAACTATAATATAGTCTAGCGGATAAGCACATAACTATGATCACATTGTGCACTTTTGGTTAGAATTGAGAAACTTTGCACACGCATACTACATCATACGATCCTGAAGATTTTCTGACATAGCGCCAATTGAACAGCGCCACCTGGTGGCGTGCAGCGCCCCCTGGCGGGTTAACGGGTATTTCGTTGCACCACTCGGTTTTGTATATAATTGCAATAATACTCATATATATATATACATATCACTTGGCTAATTGTCATCGCATTATGATGCAAGGCGGGCATCGTATCGTGTCAGTTGGCAGGTTGTCATCGGCTCATCCAATTCCCAGTCCCGAACATAACTGCTCTCCTTCAGAATCACAGACGTGCCGTGTTCGTGCCTTGCAGGGTATCATCAGCAGCCTTATAGTGTTTCCAATCAACCTGGCTCTGGTCATGATATTCAAGCTGGCACGCGAGCGATCTCCGAAAGCCATTCGCGAGAAAGATAAGGCCACGAGGAAGGCGTGGAAGGCACAGCAGAAGGCCAGTATTGCTAAGTCTGCCCTTTCACGTGCAGCGTCCATGGATCGTGATCACGGACCATTTATTCTTGTTTGATTTTGCCCTGGGAAACTTAGATTTGTCACACTTATTGATCCCATTTGTTTTTCCTGTTGTGCCTAACAGTTGTCGAAGTTGTTGTTGTTGGTGTTGTCATTGTTGTTGTTGTATTGGTATTGGTATTGGTATTGGTATTGGTATTGGTATTGTGTGGCTGCTACTGTTTCTGTTATTGTTATTGTTATTATTATTATTATTATTATTATTGTTGTTGTTGTTGTTGTTGACGTGGAGCTCCTACCGATCGGGTTATGTGAGGTATTGAGAACTTTGTCTCTAGTCGTCGCCCCCACATCAGCTGTGACACGAGTGGGTCTGACCACGCCACATGTCCGTTGGTCCATAGGAAGCGAAGAGGATAAAACAATCATGGTCGAAGAACCAGTACGCGCAAGAACTGATGGCGGAGGACAAGAAGATCGGCAAGGGAGGCATCAGTGTCAATAAACCGTCATCCATCGGTGACATGTCCGGCACGCCCGTCTATCTCGCGCAACCAAAGCGGTAAGCTCTCTTATATACTGACGCTCCACGTAGGTGACAGGGGCGACCTATCGTGATTATGACTCTACCGTTTTTTTATTAGGCGTTTGTATATTCTTGTTCGTGTGTGTTTTGTTTTTAGACATGTGTGAAGGAAAAGTTCAGAACGACTCTACTTCATTTCACCGCGCTACCCTGCGTGTGTTTGACCAGCGTATCACTCGACGCAATTGAGACGTACAGTTAGCGATAAACATGCATTATATGTGCTTTTAGGATTTCAGGCTTAAGACGTTGCGTGCTCAAGAATTTTGCGTTTTATCTAGAATGGTAATAACTAGCGATACGAAACCGTTTAGCTGGTAAGCCAGTTTGTTGCTCACAATGTGGTTTACATATTGTTATGTACCAAGATAAGCCACAGTGTGCATCTGCACGGACACTCTAAGATAGTCACAGCAGAGCATATACCCAAGACTCTAGCGCTTGCTTGCGATAGAATGCTTCCTCACACCAACACGCCACTCTGCAGGGTAGAGAGGAAGAAACCCTTCAGTCTGCCGTGGTGGTTCATCTACGTCGGCTACGTGCTCTCCTTCCTGTCGGTCGCCACCGCATTCTACTTCATCGTCGAGTTTGCGGGAGTCTTCGGGCCGGTGAAGGCGCTGGAGTGGCTCGTGTCCATGTTCATCTCACTCGGCGAATCGATACTGCTCACACAGCCAGTCAAGGTACGCTACGGCTCGTGCGTAGCAGTGCAATATAGAGGGCGCTGCGGCTCGTGCGTAGTAGTGCAATATAGAGGGCGCTGCAAGCTCGTGCGTAGCAGTGCAATATAGAAGGCGCTGCAGCTCGTGCGTAGTAGTGCAATATAGAGGGCGCTGC